CAAATCCCTTCACAGCTTCAGTTCAGGGAGCAGACACCATTTACAGGCTAAGTTTCTCTATTCCTCACTTAAGTGCATGACTCATTTTTTTTTTTTTTTGCAAATACTGGAGAATAATTCAAATTGTGAGAAGCATATGGAGAGCTCCAGTCCAGCTCCCTGATCAAAGCAGGGTCAACTTCAGTGTCAGAATTGCTCCGGGCCTTGCTCTGATGGGTTTTGAAAATCTCTAAGGATTTTCCAGAGTTTGGCCTCCCATATTATGAAGAATTTTTTCCATATCTTTAACATGAACATCTGCAGTTGTAACTCTCAGAGGCTGCAACTTGTGCTTGAACTGAATACTCCCTCCTCCTGGGAGGAGCTGACGCTGTCTTCCTTGTAACTGCCCATCCAGCACTGAAAAAAGATTTTCCTCCAAGACTTCCTCTTCTCCAGGCTGAATAAGCCTAGTTTTCTCCATCTCTTTCTCAGATACCATATGCTCCAGCCCCCTGACCATCTTGGTGGCCTCTGCTGGATTCAGTTCAGTTTGTCAGTCTCTCTGTTGTACTGTGAGACCCAATGGCCTGAGACAGTAATCAGATGTGGTGTTAGATGTGCCGAATACAGGGGAGTAACAGCATTTCTTGACTTTCTACCTAAGCTTTTGAAAATACAGCTCAGTATGTAGCTGTATTTCATTGTCACTAGGGCATGATGATGACTCATGGACAACTTAATGTCCTTTCAGACCCTCAGATCATCTTCTGCAAAGGTAATTTTCATTCATCTTGTCCCTAGACTGCAATGTTACATGAGCTTGTTCTGTTCAAGGTGCAGGTCTTTGCTGAACATCATGAAGCTTCTCTCTGACCATTGTTATGATGCGGAAGCTTCCTCTAAATAATGGCTCTACCCCAGCATGCCAAGCACTGATCCATTTGGTGTCATCCACAAACACAGTAAAGGCTCTGTCCCATCAGCTTAAATGTATTTTTTATTTATTTATTATGTTTGTTATTATAGATAATCATGTAGCACGAGCTGTTCTAATTTAGGTCAAACAAAGCTAATCCTGAAGTGATGTATTTCTTAGACTAGCCTGTGTGCATCTGTGCCTTTGCATATCTGTGCACAAACAGAATTGGTAACTGTTTATAGAAAATAATACGGCCACAGGTTACCTTGCTGTGCAAGGTAGGACCTGTTTTTCTTTCTCATGAAGATACAGGGGATTCGGGTTGTGGTTTTGGTTTGTTTCTCCTCAGAAAAATAAAAGGGTACTGAATGGCATGGGGAATAGATACGAATAGGAAAGCAAATGCTTTGGGCTCCCAAAATATTAGGAAACTCTTACTTGTGTTGCATACTGTGGGTAGTTCAGGGCTGCACAGGGGCCCTGCAGAGAGATCTGTAGCCAGAGACTGGTGCTCTATTAGGGTATTGTCTTGGCTTCGCAGAAAAAAAAAAAAAAAAGCCAATATCTCTGGAAAATGAGGCGACTTTCTGCAGATGGTCAATATGAGTCCTGACTTGATGAACTTTCAGGGCCTGTCTCTGTTTCTAGAATTTCTAGTGTTTCTAGTTTTTCCACTATTTATCTCTACCTGATCCCACTGCAGAGGATTGTTTTGGGGAAAAAAACACAGCAAACCACGGTAGGAAATATTTGTTCAGCATGGAGAAAAGAGGGTTTTGGGGAGATCTCATTGCACCTTTTCAGTACCTAAAGCGGGCACATAAGAAGGAGGGAGAGGGACTTTTTTATGTGGGTAGATAATGACAGGACAAGGAGGAACAGTTTTGAACTGAAAGATGACACATTTAGATTATGGAGAAATTCTTTACTCAGAGGGTGGTGAAACACTGGAACAGGTTGCCTGGAGAAGCTGTGGATGCCCCATCCCTGGAAGAGTTCAAGGCCAAGTTGGATGGGAATTTGAGCAACCTGATGTAGTGGAAGGTGTCTCTGTCCATGGCAGGCAAGCTGGAACTACATGATCTTTAAGGTCCCTTTTCATTCTCTAATTCCACGATTCTATTGTCCTGTCCTATGCAAACACCTGCAGAGAGGAAGGCACTTGTTGCATGCAGCAATTTAAAAAAAAAAAAGAAAGAAAAATGCATTGTCTGCATAAAACCCAAACACTTTATTACATACCCCAGAGTCCCAGAAGGATATCCTTGGTGTAGCAGTATGAGCTCTTTTTGCCTCAACAGAGTTTGTTGCAAGGATTTTATGAAAAATAATGACTGAGGGTGTAAAATTTTTATTGCAAAATTACAGTCAAAACAGCCTATATTGTTCCTACTATCCCGGTTTTGACTGGGATAGCGTTAATCTTCCTTTTCATTAAACCATTACACTAACCTATTAGGAAAATGGGGCCGACTGGCAGAAAAATGCAGACACAGTATCAAACAGAAAAGGCAAGACTGGGGCTGTCATCTACATACCCCTATTTTGAGAAATAATATCATGTAGAGATCACATTTCTACCCGTTTTTCCTCTCTATTTTATTCATACTTTCTTGCCCTCATGCTCCTCACCCCATTCAAAACAACAGAATTAGCTGGAGCAGGGTCATGTCACTTCTTGGTTTATTATGCTGCTAACAGAGAAATACAAACAAGCCATGCTGCATTTTGCTCCTGAGACTTAATCTTAAGAAAACTGTTTCTGCTCCCAAGGAAGTCAGTGGAAGTCTAATTAGTCCCAGATGTTTAGTAATAACAAGTATTTCCTATTGGGAGATCTAAACAAAAGTAATGTTAAAACTGTTAATTAAATGGGTTTGACTCTGTCATCAGATATTTAACTCATTCCAGCTTGATGCTAATCAAGCCAATACTGGCTCTCAGAAGGAGATATAATCTTGCCATGCTCAGCTTAAAAGCTGTGAACTCACTATATGGCAAATCAGCCCATGTCTGGGCACACAGCTCATTCTGCCTTCACACCAAAGGCAAAGCTCATCCACTTCAGCATCGGCTTCCCTGCAGCTGCTGCTTGTGCAAATGTTTTCCTACAAGAATAAGATCTCGAGCCAATGATTAGCATGGGCTTTTGTAGATGCTGCTGATGGTTTGTGGAAATTTGTGGAATCACAGAGTGATTTGGGTTGGAAGGCACCTTCAAGACCCCCTAGTTCCAACCCCCTTGCCACTAGACTAGGTTGCTCAAAGCCCCATCCAACCTGCCCTTGAACACTTCCAAGGATGGGGCTGCTATAACTTCTCTGGAAAACCTGTTCCAAATTTTTGCCTCCATCTTCACTAGATCTCCTTGTTCTCCATTGGTCATACTCTGAAACATGGAGCAGCTGTCCCTGCTCCTGGGCCAGGAGGTAAAAGGTGAAGCCTGAACATCACAGAAAAATATGAAGGCTTTTCTTTTAATTTATGGAGCATTACAAGCTGGTGTTTTAATATATTCACAACCCTGTGCTTTTTACAAAGTTCGAAGATGTTTTTTATTGTACAAATTTCCACAGTGAAAATCACCAACCAGTTTCTTACATAAATGCTTTAAAATAGAATTACACACCTTTTTGTACTGTGTTAATTTTGACAATCACCAGCTGGAAGAAACAGGTATGGAGCAGCAATTTGACTCTGAGTTATTTACTTGGACAGGTTTCAGTTTGACCTCTCTTACTCTTGTATGTTTTAATGTACAGTGACTGGCATGAAAAGAAAACCTGATACAGTTCCTTTCAAAGCCATTGGACCCTGTTAGTAGGTCAGGCTCCCCCTGTTGGTGAGTTTTTCTTAACCTCGAAATGGTAATTTTCTGTCAGGGTACAGAACATAAGGTATTTCAGTGTCAACTTTTAGCAATGGAACAGGTTAGCCACATTAAACCCATCATAGAATGAGGATCTACATAACTTTTCTTGCAGCCCATCCTATTGGCCATAATATCTGTTTAGGGAGAGATAGTGGATATCTGATCTGAATAATGTCTCAGGACTAGGTTCCCTGTGTATCATTTCACAGCGGTATCTTTAAAGTTCCTTTTTGTTTTCTAAATCCTATGACCTTTAAAAATAGATATATTATTCTTCTGCATTGAAATGCAACTGTATGCAGTGAATTGCTAACAGTTTTCCTCAGAAATATAAAAATTTCAGTCCAATGATAGCTGGTTGAAATTCATCTCCAAGATTTTTCTTTTAAAAAAATGTTCACGCTGGAGATTAATTTTTTCACATTAAACCCAGTTAAATATGCATTGCACATGAGGGGCAAATTTCTTCTCTTTTAGTTGAACTGTGGACCTGTGAGCTTCTGAGCAGATCTGGGTAATGTAAAGTGCAGTTGTTTCATGCTTGAGACTTCTACATCCCTCATGAGTAATAAGGGCCAGGACTAGTTGACCTCATCAACCTCTCACGTCTTGCCCTTGCCCTTGTGACTGGAGCAATATCCTAACAAACAATAGATGGTAATTTCCTTTTTTTTTTTTTTTTTTTTTTTTTTTTTTTTTTTTTTTTTTTTTTTTTTTTTTTTTTTTTTTTTTTTTTTTTTTTTTTCCTAAATTCTCATGGGTTTGGAACTCATGAGAAATTTTCAACCAACTGCGAGGAGTGAAGATTGTGCTTTGACCCACTCTGGCTCATTTTGGCATGATTTCAGTTTCAGAAGTATTAGGAGCTAACCCCCTAGGAAGAAACAAAGCTCAGACCAGCCCAAATCAAAATATCTGATGGAGGCACATAACTTTGAGAAGGGATGTAATCAATGAGCTCTGAGCTTAGTGGAAAGCCTCGGGTCTCAAGGTTAGAAAGCTTTTTCTTTTGGCCTGGTTTAAATTACACATCCCTCTAAACAACAGCAGCACTTTACAGTGGCCTCCTCTACCACTTATGAACTTGTTATGCAGATCTGCATGTGAATGAAGCAAGTGCAAAACATGGCAAATTCTCCTTCTAGTCCCTGCAACACAGACCACTACAGTGGTGCAGTTCAGGGGCACTTCAAAACCATCTTAAAATCCACAATTAAAAATCAAAGATGAGAGTTTTGCCCTTTATTTATACACTCTGTCAGTGTAGCACCCAATTTCTTCAATTTTCAAGGCATTTTGTATTTCTATGCTTTAAACTGATGGTTGAAGTTATGCCTGCGGAAGCAAAAAAACGAACCTGCACCGATGATTATCACAGATAAAACCAATACAAATGTTAATATAATAAGGATGTTGATTTTCTTTGGATCCTCTTTTTCACAGTCTTCTGGTCTAATGTTCCAAATGTACATTTCTTCCTGATACTCGAAGTTCTGAGTGTACTGGCACGTTAAGTGCTCCACGTTGGGGATCTGGACATTTTTGTTCTGTATCATTGATGAAAGCCAGATGTTTCCACAGCAGTCGAGTGGGTTACCAGTGAGATATAGGTTTTTAAGTGAATTTTCTAATGCTAAAATGTTGCTGTTCTGCAATGTACTGAACTTATTGTTCCGTAGGTCCAGAACCTCCAGTGGAGAGTCACTACCCCACTTAGGCAGCCAGTTCAGCTGATTTTCAGAGAGGTTTAAATGTTTAAGGTGACTAAAACAAGGCAAGTCGATATTTAAATCCGTCAAGCTATTGCCATGTAAATACAGATATTCCAGAGACTTTTCCAGTCCTGATAATGCTTTAAATTCTATTTTCAATCCAGGGTTCATGGTGAGATCTAAGACAATCAAAGAAGTCTTGTAGAAGCTGCATGCTGGTAGGGTGTTCAGCATGTTGTCAGCTAGGTACAAGTACTGAAGACTAGGAGAATCAACAAACGATACACAACCACTTTCCTCTCCAGCAAGTCTTTGCTTTGCTAATCCGGAGTACATGCTGCAAAGGCTGATGTTATTGCTTTGTAGATTAAGCAGTCTGAGACTAGGAAGACTAGAGAAGACGTCAAATTGCAGGGTCTGAAGATGGTTGTTTTGAATATGAAGCTCCTTCAAATTTGACAACACCCCAGCGTCAAGGAGAAGGTTCTGCAAAGCATTGTGGCTCAAGTCAAGAACAGTTAGGGACCTTAATGCATTGTCATAACTTACTAAAAATGCCTGGAGACAGTTTTTACTGAGGTTAAGGGTGTGAAGGGACAACATTGATTCAAAGAATTTATCTGGAATGGATTTGATTTCATTATAACTTAAGTCTAAATATACAAGCTGGGATAAATAAGGAGAACTTATATTTCTACTTTGCTTCTGATCGAGAAGATGAAAAGAAGCATCTAGCCATTCATTTTCCATGTAATCTTTTTTAGTATGAGGGGATTCAGCAGTGAGCTGGATTAAATTATTTGATAAGTTCAGAGTTACCAGTTTATTTACCTGAGGGAAGACTGGGAAGTGAAGCAATTTGTTTTCACTCAGATCCAGACATCTTAAGCTATATTCATCATCTGACTTTGTGATGTGGAAGGTCTCAATGCTATTCCTGCTAAGGTCAAGTATCTCCAGCTGCCTGAGATTGAAATCAGAGATGCAAGTAATTGAATTTGTGGAGAGATTGAGTTTGGAAAGGTTCACTAGAGTCTCAAAAGCACCTTCTTCTATTTCCATGATGATATTACTCTGAAGATCTATCTCCACAAGACTGGGAGATCCCTGAAACATCTTGTGTGATATCATTACAATACTGTTGTCTGCCAATGAAAGATACCGCAGTGTTGGAGCTTGTTTAATGAAATACTCAGCCATCCCATTGTACAGACTGTTGTGTGACAAGTCCATTATTTCCACCTTGGGTAAAAGTCCAATCCCCTCTGTTCCATTCTGAGCAAGCTCATATAAGTGATTGTTGGCTAAATTTATTTCCAGCAAACTCATCATGTGTGCAAACACTCCAGGCGTGATGAAGCTTATCTGGTTAGAACTTAAATCCAGACACTGGAGAGAAGTGTAAAATGATAATGGCATTTCAGGGATGGTTTGAATCAGATTTCCAGACAGATCTATTTTGTTTACGTTCAGATGGAGCTCATGAGGGATTTGGTGGAGGTCTTTGTTGTGGCAAAATGCCTGTGAGTTTGCCTGCCAGAAAAATAGAGAAAAGGGCCTGTTACACGACAAATGAAAAGCATGTTTGCATTAAATAAAAGGAAAATAACATTCGGCATCCAGACAGGTCCTTCTTGTGAAACACTGATCACACCACTTTTTCTGAGCACTGAAAACAGCAAGAACAACAATCCTAACACTTCTTTGCAGCTAACAGCACTCATTTCATTTTAAAGACATTTCTGACTTACAGCAGTAGCATTTTATCTGCATGTGATACCTACTAAATGTTCTCCTTCTCATACCTTTATCCTGGACTCATTTTAATAGTCCCAAGTGAAGAAGTTTTGCCCCCCTTTTTTTTTTTTCATTGCAATCAAGCACTATTTCTTAATTTTAGTTCTGATGTTTAATTTTCTTACTTTCGTCACTCTATTAGATTTTTCAAACTCTACTTGCAATATTAAGTACTACTTAGAAGAGCTTCACTCTGTTGGCAGCATGGGTCCCAAAGCAAAGAGGTGGAAAAACTCTAGCCCAAACCCTATCTCCCCTTCATATTCACATCCTCAGATATTTGATTATTTCTTCCTTTAACCATGGCTTAGTTAAGCAATGCATCTTTAATCAAATGGGTCATTCAACAACTGAAGCATTTCTGATGAAAATCTCCAAACTCTTCTGCTTTTACTATCCTTTTGTTTACCCTTGTTGTGTTTACCCTTTTCCTAAGGCAAGTTTCCTTCCTCTTGCATGGGGAGCACGCCTTGTGAAACCACCCATGCAAAACACCCATGATACAACATGGAAAAGACAAATTTTGTAAAGCCAGCTTTTGAGAAGGAAAAAGCTGTGATGTGCAGTGAGGGTCATGCATTTTCAGGCCAATTCCCAGCAGCAGATAGATTAAAAAACAAGCATCAAAGTCAAATTCATCTTCCAGATGCAAGTCTGTTTAATTAATTTAAGTCTGCAGCTAGGACTGAATCTGGGTCCAGACCAAAGTTTAGAGTGTGTTTTCATCAGCAAGATCAGAAACAGGAACATGACCACCCTTGCATAAATGTCAAGCTATATTTTGTTATTAAGGAGAACATAGAGCAGTGTGAGGAAGTGGAATGTAAAAGGCTTAGGCAACTTTTAATTCACTGGAGGAAAACTCTTGCTATGAATGTATCTGGGTGTCTGGTGCATGTAATGTTTGTGGAAAGATCACAGAAGAAGGAAGTAAAGAGAGAAATCTGTTGAATCTTCACTGGAGAAGCAGAATCCAGATTTCATGACACAAAGCTTTTCAGACATTAAAGAAACATTTAAAGTCAAAAATACTAACCCTCTTCTGTTTCACGTGAACTTTGAGGTGAATTAAGTGACAGATCTGTTTAGGAGAAGTGGGACACTACTCAGTGTTTTGTGAATTTCTTTTGCATCATCTAAATTTTGGAGACCACAGAAAAATATTCCAGAGAAGCATAAGTGCATATCCAAGCTCTAGATAAACACAGACTGCTCCCCATTCCTTCAGTGATACATCTTTTCCCAAAGATCCAAAGTAATTGACTATTAAACCTTGAACCCCTTCCTTTTTTTCCCTCCAACTCACTTAAATTTCAACTAGATTAAAAAAAATCAGGGGAAAAAAAAAAAAAAAAAGGAAATTTTGTGGCTTCTCCCTGAAATTATTTCTTTCCTGCAAAGTCCCCATAGAGTTGCTCATTTGAGCTAAAATATGCCCAGACTTGGCTTAGCTCCAAGGCACAAGGAGGAAGCCTCTTCTTGTTTGGTTTGTGGAAGAGGCAGAAGCCAGAAGGATGCAAAAATACAGAGTGAGAAAGCAGCAGGTGCTTTGCAGCCTAAGGCAGATGCCAGGTTTCTTCCCACACTTTGAGCCAGACCTCAACAGCGGAGAGCCCCCTCCACTCCTTGCGGGTAATGAGCATCTTAGCAAAGTCCTGATCCAACTCCTGTTGATGCCAGTCGGCTGGCTTTCACTGAAGTCGATGGCTGAGAAGTCAGTCTCAGATCACCAAGTATCTAGCAGGTCTTTAATTTACATCCATGGAACCTTCCCAGTGATAAAAGAGACTGATCAAATCTGGACCTCCCACTGTCTGACATTCGTTCCTGTAACATTTCCCCTCCCACTATTCTTTTTAAAGTTTTATTCCTTTTCACTGACTTATTTGATCCTCACCAAATTTATCTTCTGCACCATCTTTTCTCCCCGAGGCTCAAACAGCATGAATGTCATTCTCATCAACAGTAGAAAGAAAAGATGAAACACATCTCAGTGGATTGGATCAAACAGCATCTGTTTGGTGCATCTCCCCTTCTCTCACCTCTTAGTCCAATGGGTTGACAACCTGAGATTGGAAAAGTCTCAGGCTTCTCAGGCTTTTGCCTCACATTCTGACTTCATCATCTTTGCCACTGCTGTCATCAGTTTATTCCACATCTATTGGCAAGAAGTACTGCAGGATGAAAAGCACTTGACCCTTTCAGTCTCTGGTTCCATTCATGTGCTGGCAAAAAAATGACCCAACAGTTCAAAAGCTGAGCATCATTTGGATTCTGACTCCAATTCTTTACTGCTCAGCACTGTGTGGAAGTTGTCATCCCCCTTAGTAAGAGCCCTACAGAAACGCGGCTGGATCCAAGCCTTCACTTGTGTTCTCTGTTATCAACTCATGAACATGTGAACCAAAGAATTTGGGCTGGAGCCACTTGGCAATGACCTGCGCTTGAATGGTGTCCATGACTGTTCTCAGAAGGGCTCCCCAGCTACAGAGCCAAACCTTGGCAGTTTGCCCAGGTACCCCACATCAGCTGACCTATGATAACCAGTTGTGCACATATTCTTGCATCACCTCAATGCAAGGTGAAATGGAATTTCCTAAAATCCCCTCCCTTCCATAAATTATTTCAAAGCTTATCCTTCTCCAGTTCACGAGAATTAGTAGAAACATCTTTCTTTGGGGAGTGAACACAATCTAGTTGAAGCCCTGCCTGCCTGTGGAAGGCAACAGGAGTTAGGAAGAAGCTCCTGACATTTAAGCTGTGCCTTGTTGTCTTGCAAATGTGTAGATGTGCCATAACTTGTACAATCAGTGTGTGGGGTCTCACAGGAAGTGTTCAATTCCTCTTTTAGGATTCTAGTTCAATGACAGGAGCAGCACTGGTGAGTCAGAGAAGGGCATAGGTTTCTGACTCATCCCTCTACCAGGAGACTTGGGATGAAAGTTTCCATTTCTGAGTTTTTGCTATTCTAAAGTGTTACCACAGGGAAAGTACCAAGTAAAACAGTAAGACTGGAATGAAAAACAATAATTCAGGACTTCAATGGACTATCAGCTAATCCAGTAGCTCCCTCTTTCTTTAAGCTGTGTTTGGATTTACACCCACCTTCCACTGGACCAAACATCCTCTGAAGGAAGACAATCAGCAAGGACATTAGCAATGCTGAGCTAATAATTTATATCAGATGAGCATCCCAGACGTTGACTGCAGTGTGTTTTCTGTCAGAGCTAAATTTATCCCAGTTTAACTGCGTAGAGCCCTGGATTATTTGCTTGATGAAAGCAGTGGAGTGGTGGAAACAAGCATGTGTTTACTTCTCAGCAGTCAGCCTGGTCTGTGATCCATCAAGAAATGGGATGGGACGAATCTACTTGGTTTATTGCATGTCTTGCCCAACCTTCATGTGACTATGATACATGGGACCCAAGCTGACATGGTGACAGTGGCTTCATCACTCTTCCTTCTCCAGCCAGTGAATTGAGCTGCCCAGTCACCTTCCCAAGATCTTTTTATACATACTAGGTCTTAATTTCTTTGGAATTCAGGAAGTGCAGCAAAATGTCAGGGTGGACAGGAATGGAATGAGTCCCATAAGGGAGTTGTGTCCAGCTAGCAAATAATTTTTTTCCCTATTTTGGAAATTCTTGAGGATTTGTGCTGAACAGCTTCAATGCTCAGGAAAAAAAAAGGTATTCTTAAATGGCCTGTTACAATCAGAAGCACTTTGATAGGGAAGGGAGAAAGTTCAGCTGTGAATAACATTTATAATACTGTACCAGGTACTTGCAAAATTCAAGGAACAAATTTTGTATGAGGTCAAGAGGCTTTGTCACTTCATTTCCCTCCAGCAGAAGTCAGGTACAGCTTCCCTGGTAGCAATGCTGTGTCAGGGCAGAGGAGGTCAGTCTCCCTGTTATTACAAAAGGGCTTGTATAGGTGCATTTCACAGAAGATACTTTATTTAAAGCACAAAGAACATAGGCTTGATATAAAGGAGATGATTTTAAGTCTAAGTTCTTATTCTGTCTCAGTCACAGAATCCTTGTACAGTCTTGGGGCAATCAGGTCAAATTTCTTTTAGCCAGCTCCCCCTTAAAGAAAACTGAGATAATGACCCTTCTTCCAACCTTACCCACTCCAGCACTTTTATGTGCTGTCACTACAACAAGGACACAGCCCAAGAACAGCCTGCTAACCACCCCCTAACCCTGCAAATCCCATCTCTGCTGTCATGGAGAGTCTGGTCCTGGGGGATTCCCATTTTCAGAGACTGTAGCTGTTTTTACAGTGCCTGTAACAAGGCCGTCTCAGCTTCGTTCAGAATGCCAAGGGGCCTGAGTAGAGAGACATCCTTACCATTTCACAGGATGTCCCTTCTGTGGTTCCTGTGTTCACCACTGCCAGTAAGAAGATGATGTACAGTTTCATGGTTCTGCAGGTAAAATTAATTATTGTTAGATTTCAGCTGGGACACAGCAGCCAACACATGCGAAAGCTGGCACCAGATCATCACCAAGTATGGACATGGACAAGCAGTGCAGTAAATTAAGCCATCTCTGAGCTTAATGACTCACCTGTGTAGCCTTTCATTCCTTTGAGTCTGGTGGGAAAAGAGATTTATATGAGCACTTGAAAGGAAGGTTCAAGGAGTTTAATGGGTTTGCCCCAGTGTGATTTCAGCCGCTGCTTAGATGATACCCAGGCCACCCAATGAAGTCCAGATGCTCATGCTGGGCAGTGTGTCTGGCATCATGGAGAAGGACAACCACTCAAGACTGAGTTACCCACACTCTCTCCATAGAGCCAGCTCAGTTGCTTTCCACTGGGCTGAAGTTTTGGGGTCCTGAGGTTTGGGGTTTTTGAAGTTCTGAGCAAAGCGAACAGGCATCACTCAGAAACAACCAGCACTGGGAACCGTTTCCATTTCCATTCACAATATTTTCTACTCATCTAGTCCCAGGGTGCCAAAGAGCTTTTACATGCTCATCCTTGTTGAATTAATACAAGCAGCTTAAAGAACGGACTGAGAACTTTTGTCCAAATATTAGTTTTCTAACATTTTTTCTAGTTTTCTAGCTTAGGGTTTTTTCACATCTCAGGTGAGGGCAGGCTTTTAAATACATCTGAAAGGAGATCACAGAATAATTTGGGTTGGAAGGGACCTTTAAAGGTCATCTAGTCCAACCCATCCGCCATGGGCAGGCACAGATGCCTTATAAAGAGGCAAATATGAAATAGAATGGATTTGTGTGAATCAAAGGATTCATCAGACTTTACCTGTTTGGAAAACACTGCAGAAAAGAGCACAGAGATAACTGCAAAAGGAGCAAACACCACTGGGAGGCCCGTCACTAGGAAATGGGAGAAAAATACAACCAAAGCCAAAGGAAAGCGTTCCTCCTCCAAACAGCTTGTTTCTAGATAGACACTAATGAGGCTTCTGGCTGTCGTCAGCACTGATGTGAGCTCAGGATGTCTCTTCTTTATGTCAGCTTCTGCCGCAAACTTGTGGGCTCTGCCTGCATTTGTATGGCTTCTTGCTGACAGATCTGACCTGGTCTTGCCTGCACCCAGAGCCGGTGAGACACAACTGGAAGCCATGCAGCACTGCTTAGCTGGCACTGCTCTTAAGTTATCCCAGGAACAAGCCTGGATCTGGCAAGCTCCAAACACACATCAATCCCATGTACATGAGCCAGGAGATTACTGCATCAGTGGACTGTTACTCAGTGGCTTCTACCTAGAGAGCATCAGGAGGCTGGAAACAAAAGAGATGGGATCATTCCTGGCTGTTGTAAATCCAGTTGCTTAGTCACTGTTTGAGGGAAGCAGTGGATGGCTGTGGTCCCTCACAGCAATGGCAGTTGCTGAACAGCACTGCCAGCAGGTTCACGATTGGAACCTGCTCATTCCTCCCCTTCCCAGCCAGAAGAGGATAGAGTTGTGTACTAGGAAGAGAGAAACTCGGGAGGATTAGACCACAGCTACTCTATTTGCAGATTGCAAACTCCTTTCATTTCACAAGAACAACCAGCAGTGGATGATAATCTGGGACCCCAAGGTGAAAGAACTTGGAGTTTGTCTTTGGTTGTCCATAGCAGGATCAGAAGTGTGCTCCTCCACTCTAAACCAACACCAATGATGTAAATTCTTGACCTTTTAATTAGTGTTTGCAAAATACACTGAAATCATCCTATGGAAGGAGGAATTGTTGAAGCCACCACCTATTCTGTCTCTGTCCCTCGCTTCTGTTCCTCATTCCCCATGTTTAGAGGAGTGGATGCCTCCTAAAGAGTATTTTGTCATTTGAGTATTAGTTTGCTGGGATGGAGAGAAAAGACAAACATACCAATGCTTACAAGGCTTTACTAAGAGCCCTCAAATGAAAAAGCTTCTGTTTAGATCCAATGAATTAAGCTGAGCATATTACCCCCAACAGGACACCACCCTGCTGGACAGTATATGAGCTGTGCACTCTGCAATGTCTTCCCTTGTCACACCATCAGTTAAAAAAAACTATGATCATCCCTTTGCTTCTTAAAGCACTCCAGGGCCTTATCATGCTTTGAAATTTCCTGCATTTTAAGTTTATAAAACAACTGGGAAATTATGTACTTAAACACAGAAGTCTGATGTAATGGCTTCCTGTGTAAAACAGATCTGTAATAAGCAAGAATGCTGTCTCTCAACGTGTTTCTAAGGTGACTGTCACATGCTGAAGCATTTGGACATGGTGGTCTCTTCAACTTGAGACCACATGGACTCTGACCAGAAGAAGGTAAGCCACTCCTCATAGAATCATTTAGGTTGGAAAAGCCCTGTAGTATCATCAAGTCCAGCCATTAACCCAGCATGGCCAAGACCACCACTACACCATGTCCCCAAGTGCCACATCTACACATCTTTTAAGGCTATTTCCCCTTGAGCTGTCATGGTACACCCCAAGCTCCTTGAACATGAAGAATCCCTTCCCAGGATGATTTTCAGTTCTGCTGTGCAGCTGAGGATCTTTTCCTGATTATCTTTTCTCTGGACAACCCTTAGATCCTCCTCAGCAACACCTAGTGTGACACAGCACAGTGTCCCCTTCCTCCCTACCCTCTGGACAGGTCTGAACACCCTCTCCTCCTTTCCCCAGTGCAGAGCTCAGGGCTCACAGGGCCCCCATTACCCTGGTGTCAGAGAGCATCACCATGAAGCCCTGTCTGCTGGCACTGATGTCTCTAACCACAGCTTACAAAAACAATCTGGGAGCAGCAGCAGCAACAGCTCAACCTAAAGAGGCTTTTACTGCTCTGAGGTTTTCCCGGACTTGAAGCTGCTTCTTGCTCAGTGTCACTTTGCTCCCATTGGCAGCTGTGATAAAAATCCTAGTATACCTGAGAGCAAGATTGAGCTCTGAAACCTATTCAGTGTCACTGCTTTCCATCACAGTACTTCAAAATCATCCATCCCCAGCTGAAAAATATAAGTGGGGTCAGTGAACATCATCCCCAAGTAGCCCTATTAAGTGTATCAAACAATTTAATGTCTGGGAAAGGCATGGTACACAAACCACATCAGCATGTCCACTTTAAAAATGGAGGGCAAAGGCGGAGAAGAACAGTCATTTGCCCCAAGGCACATTTGAAACCATGGAATAACTAGGGTTTAATCATGGTTTTCCCATTTCCCACTCCAGAACAATACTTGCCTCCATCCCTACTACAATAATAACCCTGAAATTACTTTATAGATATTGCTTGCAGCTAATAACAGCAGCACTTTCCAAATTTCTCCCACAAGTAATTTTTGTTACTGCTTAGACAATTAACACAGATGTCCTCCTGTGCCAAAGAGAGTTAAATACAAGAGAATACACAAAACAAAAACCAAACTCCCCAAGGTCTGATCCTTTTCCACACAAGACTTTTAACTGCCAAGTTAGAGCCTTCAGGGCTAAAAAGATTGAATATTTCACATTTACCTTGTTTCAAGGGTTTCTTGCATCCTCAAACGCCACTTCTTATCTCTTTAAAAAGCTCTTCAAAACAGATTCAGTCCTGGCACCAATGGAATTGTTCTTCAGCTTCTCAGGACGCCAAGACAATCACTCATAAGTTCAGAAAAAAGGCATTTTTTGTGAAATAGCCTTAATTGGAACAGTGTCTGTTTTAATTATGCTGCTTGTCTTTCTCCGCACTTCTCTCTGAATGGAGTTGTCTACTGTGCAACATCCTGAAGGCCTTCCTTGGGACAGGATTGAGAAATGGGGAGATTTTTGCCAGAGGAGCTGCCACAATTGGGCCATGGGTTTGTCAGGGGAATAAGTGACTTCTTATTGCCACTGCCACTGTCTGTCTGTGTGTATGAGGCATGGCAGTGGGTTTACTTTAGGGTTTTGTGTCTATCCGTGGGGGCATTGTAGCTTCCTGAACCTAAATATCTCTCTGCATTTTCAGGGAAACAGCCCTTGAGGATTAAAAGTTTAAAATTCATGGCTGATAAATATAAAGCCGAGAATTCAGAAACCTTCCCTGGACTAAATAACTCTTTTTCTTTTCAGTGATGGGCTCTTAGCATCTCATTTGCTTTGCGATGCACTCTGAAATGAGAGGCATAAATCATAGAATCATAAAATCACAGAATAGTTTGGGTTAAAAGATCACCTGGTTCCAACCCCTCTGCCATGGAGAGAGACACCTTCCTCTAGACCAGGTTGCTAGTCTAGCTATGAAGGCACTATGTAAAAAAACAGAGGTGAGGGCATGATTACGTGCAAAGGACAGAAAAATCCACATTAAGTCCTCAAGAGAACAACCTACCAGTGGGATTATCACAACCCCAGACTGGTTGTCCTTGGCTGGGCTCTCATCAGACTAGTTTTGATCACCTTCACCCAAGCACATTGTGTCTTGAGCTTCCCTAGGTTGCAGCTGGCTGCAGTGCTGTTTTTCACTTGATCCCTTTGGCACGCTTCCTGAAGTCAAGCTCTCTATCTGCAATCCCCTTGGGATAAGCAGAAAACTCATGTCAAAGTTAGGACTGGTGTCTAAACATTTAAATTCTTTTTGGATGCTCTGTGTTTAGAGTTTGCCTTGTCAGCAGTGTGCAATAGCATTTGACATGCACGGACACTTTCGCAAGGGAAACCTCAATTATTTGAGGCCTTCAAGAGAAAAAAAAAAAAGGAATTAAAAAGGTTATTTTTATTTGGAGGTGGAGTATTAATATGCCTGAAATGAAGAGCAGCAAGTGACCAGGATGATTGCAACTTCACATGGATGTTCAGAGCACTTTAGGAAGTTTGAATTTGAAGGGATAAAAATAGTAGAGGTTTTGTTGGTTGTGCTTTTTAATAAGCCAGCTCTGTTCCTCAAGCTGTTTTACTCAGTGGCCAAGCAGCTGTGCCAGCTGAACTGTGAAGAAGAGCCTGGACAGAAACAAATGCCAAATCAGGAGGGAAGGGCATGCACTGATTCTGCTGTTCAGGACTTTCCTTTTTTAAAATCACAGCCTCAGAGGACACCAGCCGCACTGGGAAAGATCAGTGCTGTCCTTACCATCTTTGTCCTTTCCTAGAGGGGATCTGACAGCAATCAGTTTCAGAGGCCCTGAAGCATTTGGCTGATGTCCCATTTTCACTATTTTTGTGCTTTGGGCTACCCAGCAGTTTACACCTTGAAGTGGTGTTGAAATATTAGCATGGTATGGGCTTGGTAAGCCGTGTCTGCAAAGCAAGTGTCACCTTCATCAGACAGGCTGGGTCATAGAATCACAGAATCCTAGAATGGCTTGAGTTGGAACAGACCTTGAAGATCGTATAGTTCCAATCTCTCTGCCATGGGCAAGGACATCTTCTCTAGACCAGGCTACTCAGAGGCCCAGCCAGCCTCATCTCCATCATGCAGAGTGGAGACTCAAGGTCTTTTGCCCACAAAACAGCAAGGGCTCTCCCATTCCACTGATGCCAAAGGGTTTGCACCTGTGACTATGTGAAATCAGGCCCTTCCTGATTTTTCAGCAATCTCCTCAGCAGTCATTTCCTGCTTGTTTTCTGTCAACATCAGCTGAATTACACCCTACTCCACATGAAGCCAATGGCACCTCCTTAGACCTACCTCTCTTCTCCTCCAAACCCTCTTCACAGCATGGCCCAGGGCAAGAAGGAAAAGCCAGACCGTAATCTGCTGCAGCTTCCTAAGGGTTTCAGAGAAACAAAAATATATCTTGATGATTATGCATCTTGAACCTCCAGACCCTTTAGAGTCTGTCCATCTATAACACTGTTGTTTTCTAAGGCACTGCTTTTGCCTTGAGTCCTGTGCCAAGCCATATGAATCAAACTCTTCAGAGAAGAGTTTACATCAGTATTGCACTCCAGATTTTAAGCTACAAGATCCACAGAGTGGTTTCATTTTATTTAAGACTTTTTAAAAGACTTTTGGTTCGTTATAGCTTTGAATTCACATCCGGAGAAAGAGTCACACACTTTTTTCTAAGAGTTATTAGTCCAATTTAGTGAGAATAATAAGATAATTCAAATGGTGCAGGTTGCAGGAGAAAGAGAGAGCTCACGAGAAGTCTCAGTTTAGTTTTCCCTCCCAAGCCTTCCAGTGCCTTCCAGGCCAGAGTGACGGGTGCAGTAGCCAGTCACAGGCTCCAGGGGTGTGTGTGTGGGCTACCAGGCAGGTCTGCCTTGGCTAACAGCTCAAGCTGCAAGGCCTCAGCTCTGCCATGTGCTTTCCATGGGCTCAGCCTTGTTGGCCACAGGCTTTCCAGCTCTGTCATGTGCTCCCAGCAGGTCTTATATGCAGAACTTAACACGTACCTGCGGGTCTAGGACCAGTCCTTATACACACACACACATACACAGAGTGAGTTGGTTCTGACTCATATTAATAATTCAGTGAGATTCAGATCCAGTCTCTCACAATCAGTGAAGTAAAAAAACCAAGCTCTTGACTCAGAAAGTGGGTCTGATCTGCAAGTGCAGGAGCAGTATGAGTCTTGCTCCCTTTCAGCTGGAATAGCTCCCTGGTGATTTGTCCCACTAGGGAGCTGGAGATATCAATATTAAACTTATTAAAAAATAAATAGCTGATGTCATCCTCAGCCACAGCCTTTGAGGAGGAGGCACAGCTCCAGCTCTTGAGACCCTACAACATCTTCAGGAGTTGCTTCTCCTAGTTCATTTTGCTTGTGCCATTGCTTAGTGTCTCATGGGCAGGAGCAGTCTCATACCTCTCTGGTGTAAAGTCCACATGTCAAAATAAGGCATTCTATATCTCTTGTAACCCCAGCATGTCTTTTCTCCTGTCGTTTGAAGCTGCTGCCTTCCTCCTTTCTCCTTCTGTCTTCTCTCCATCTGCACCTGTACTAGGTGTTTAGCCAACATAATTTCCCTACTAAGAATTAAAATCTAAAAATTAACGTCTTCAATTAATTGGACCCAAAATTAGCCAAATTCCCTATTTTATTATCATTTTTTAATACTCCTCTTTCCAGGAAAGAAAATTTAAATGAACCAGAATTGCATGAAATCCATGGGCCTGGAGACTTCTTGAGTGATGAGTTGGGTAACGGGACAGTAGGAGATGAGAAAATAAAAACACATCAACAAAAAGTGACATTTGCAGATTAAACTATCTGACCATGAAATACTTTTCCTGTTGACCAAAGCTCCTGGGGAAACTCAAATTCAGGATCTAAAAAAAAATAATTTCTTACTCTCTTAGTGCAGAAAAAAAGAAAAATAGGCTTTTAATTCAGCATTTCTGTTTTAATTGACAATTAAGTCAGTGTTTGGGAAAAGTTGTGTTTAATTTACATGGCCTGACAGGAGACAAAATGAGGAAAATTACTTCTGATAGATTTAGTTGCACGATACTGATATCCCCCATTGAAACTATCCATCGTTTATTAGTAAAAGGTCAAGCAACTATACAGTCAATGAGATGTAATCATCTGCTTTAAAAAGACATGACTAGTTGTGGATTTTTGTTATTGAAAATGAAAAGATTTTAGCCTTTTAGAGTAATAAGTTGCTTTCAAAGTTGAAATAATAGCATCTTATTTAAAAACCACAAAAACAAACAAAACAAAACAAAAAAAAATAACCAAAACAAAACCCAAACCAAAACAAAACCAGGAAAAAAAACCACAACACAATCAGATTTCCACTGTTGTGGAAAGTCAAACTTTTGATTCTATTTAAAAGAAACATATCTGCACTTTTATAAAAAATACCAGAGACTTTGGCTTTATAAATTTATCTGTGACTTTTATAAAAAGTAGTATTTTCTAAAATTTTACCAGTTCCAAATGTTGTCTAAATATTAATTGTCTTGATAACAGTCCAGATGCAGCAAAACCCTCTCAGTAAGTCATCGTTCACCCAAGGTGACATTCAAGCTGTCAGGATCTCAAGAGTAGCAAAATACCCCTGCCATCCCACACCTCTTACTCCAACAGGGAGAACTCAATGACAGTGCTGATAGTAAGAAGAGCAGACAAGCCAAACAGCCTTTTGGTCATTTTTCCCCAGACTGTGTGATTTGCCCAAGGCTATATTAGGATTCAGTGTCGAGAGATGGGCGAATGGCATTTAATCAGTGTACAGTGCTGATCTCTGCAGTACTCCTGGTTCAGAGCACTATAATGCAGTGATACCATAAATAGACTAAAGTCCAATGAAGAAAGAAAAAATGCCCAAACATGTCCTCATCTTTCATTACTGTAAGCACAGAGAACAGTAACAAACTCTGCATATGACAACTGTGTTGTTATAAACTAACCAGTACCTCCTTAACATAAGGGATCTAACTCGCTGCAGTGCAAGTCCCTTATGGATTAAATATACAGCTGTGTGGATAAAGCCATCTACACAGTGTGTTTAGCCAGTTCCTCAGCCTATTCATAAACACAGAATGTTTTATTTATAGTGTAACTTCCTCATCTGTGTTAATTTTAAAGGCTCCAGCTCTAAGTCACTGGAGCCCTCATCTCTCCTGCAGTCAAAAGCTCAACTTTCCACCACGCTCCCGTGTTCACATGCATCTCCACGTACCTGTTCCGTGGCTTGAGGAGAATGAGGAGGAGGTTTTGCCTCTGCTTGCAGCCTTCTGCCTCCCAGGCTCTCCCAGCAGCTTTTCCAGAGTAAGCCGAGGAAGAGTTTCCTTAGGGGAGTCGTACCTCTATTGCATGCCAGCTGACTAAAATTCTGTGAGCTCCGACAGAAGTTTGAAGTCACAGGGAAAAAAAATACTCCCCACAGACTGGTCCTTGAATTCATTCCTTTGCAGTCATGATCTCTTATATATTCCCAGGCTCCCACGAGCATGTGAATACATACCTCCATAATTGTTTTAAAATGTGTGTGTCCTCTGCTCTTCTCTTTATTTTCCATTTCGTTCATTCAATCTTGGCTTATTTCCTGCAGTTTCTCAGCTGGTAATTATGCTCCTCTCATATTGACACATGAAACAGTCTGTGAATACCACAAAAAATTCTATCTGCAGGCTTTGGGGACATGTGCTTGTCTCTGAAGTTATCTGTGCTTGCTCCATGGCTGTCAGCCTGCAGATTCTCAGGGGGTGGGGTAAATGAGGGATACTGAGATAGCTGCAAACCCTAAACTCCAATGCCATGCAGGATGGGTTGTATAGGAAAATGGTATATGAAAGGGAAACTTCACAGTAGGGAAAACACATCATGTTTGGTGTTCCAACAGCTCAGGTGTGTCTCTGTGGCACACCAGTGGGATGACCAAATGCACCCTTGGGGGAAAGGATAAATTCAATTTAATGCTTGAATGAGTAATAATGTAAATGCCTTCTAGAAAAGGGAATGGGATGGATTTTTCTTTCTTTTCCTTGGGTATGAGGCTCCTTTTATTTCAGAAGAAATGCTCTTGTGTAAACCAGTGGGGAACTTGCACATTGCCTGTGTTGTCTTCTGCTTAGATATGCCCTTATACCTGGGCAAGTGTACACTGACCTCTCCACATTAGTTTGCAGCAGAGCAAACATCTAACAGAGTTGTTCCAGCTCCTCCATGGGTATCTTAGGATCAAAATGACTCTTGGCTTCAGTAGCCAGGACATGACCTCTCCTGGGCCACCCCCCCAGGAATCTCCCACAGGCACCAGGAACCAAAGCAAATCTCCCAGGGACCACTGCAAACCTCCAGCCTTCTTCCCTGGATGCATTAGGAGTATCTCCACTGAGTGACCTTCATCCTGAAGGAGAGGTTTGCCTTCAGCATTGTGTGTTCTGCACACTTTGCACTGAGATCTGCAATGATGGCCAAGGATTTTGGATGGACCAAAAAAACCAGAGGGTACTGACTCCCTTCTCCTGGACAGCATAAATTTTGTCCAGCTTTCCTGGATCTGCTTATTAAAATCAAATAAAAACCATGACCTTTAACACCATGTACCAAGCAGCTCTGTGGATTCTGCTAAACATGTGCTGGCTCCAACCTTTATTTCTCTGCAACAGGTTACTGTTTGTTCTGTGTAGCACAACAGCTCCCGTCAGAGTTACTTCAGGTCTGCACTATGCTGGGAGATTCAAGATGAAAGCGTCCACAGATGTGAAAGATGTGGTTAGTTAAATATCACAATATGTACTTTTTGCACGTGTTATTGCAATAAGAATGTAACAAGGATAATCAATTTAAAAGGAATGTATACATTATAGTAAAGAATAAACAATAAAAATTTTAATACCATAATAGCTATTGCCTGTGTACATGTACAGCATATTTTTTAAAGGCCAAATGCCTTAAGAATAGTAAGTGAACAATTTATTGTTGACTTGTCTTGGCAACAGAAGCAGATCTGGAGGAGCTTGCCTGTGCACAGCAGCTCCAAAACCTTACTGATGACCTTAGAATAGAACTTCTACAGGACATAGCTGATCCCAAGAATACAGGGTAATACCAATGAGCAAACATGTGGTACGAAAGCCACAACAACCCTGTGCTGTGTGTAAACTAGGAGTCCACTATCGCTCCATCTCATGGCAGTGTGCCTAGTGAATATGGCTGTGGTGCTTGGTTTGGCATCAGCTTGACATTGATGCGTTGATGTAGATCTCCCGCCCAAGACAAACACACCTCGTAATTCCTTCTAGTTTATTTGGCTGGGACTGATAATGGGAGTTCACCAAGCACAAGGAGATACTGTATCCCCTCCTCGTATGTAACCACCTCAGGCCAACCTGATGGCCAACTTTATGTCACAGTAGCCAAGCCTAGAGGATGGCTGTGTAAGTGCTGCTTGGAGATGTGTGTCCCATTGTATTTTCCAAGTGGTGCATGGCTATCTAAAAGGAAAATGGTCTGTCACAGAACGGATTAGAAGTCTCCTAGCAATAAATTTCAGACTTATATGAAAGCAGAAAAAATTATTCACACAGATCCTGCTGTCTCTGGTGTGTGGTGTGTGGACACCCAGTGACACCCGAGTGCTGATACTTCTCTGCTTCTCTCCCACTAAAGATATCTCTTCCAGGGAGGGATCCCTGGCCTGATCCACATGGTCCTTTCCCTTCTCTAGAGCAGTTTGGCGATGTCCAGGTGTGTAGCACTCAGGCACCTGCCTCTGGGTGGTGCCTGCACAGCCCTGAGATTGTTCTTTCACTGTTAGCTTTCTTTCAGAATGCCTTGAATAAGGAGGGGACAGCATGCAAAGCTGCTTTGGAATAATGTAGGAGGACTGTGTGGAGCAGAAGCAACCAAACCTGAAGCAGGCCCTGAAGGAAATCCCAGCTTGGAGGGAATAAGCTGGTTTGGTGCAGATGGGTGCCCATGAGAGAGCTAACCCTCAGTGTGGTTGACTGGGGGGGAGAGAGGTTATCTAACAGCATCAATGTACCCATGCACACCCCATGAAACAACCTGAGCCCACTAGGAGGGCATCACACCCTGAAGACCTGTAGGATCTTGCCACTGGAACTGCTTACAAGCACCAATTCTGCAATAATTTCTGCTGGTACCTGCCATGCACAAATCCTACATGTCTCCATACTAGGGCAGGAGGATGTGGCAACCAGCAAATCCCACTTTGAAAAAAAGGCCACAGGTCAGTGCCGGTCACAAAAAGTCAAC